AGGGGGAGGGGAGGGGGAGGGGGAGGGAGAGGGAGAGGGAGAGGGAGAGGGAGAATACCACGGCCATCCCTGCCAGGCTCTGCCCAGATGGCAGATTCCTGAGAACCCGGTGCCACTCATTCAACTTGCTGGCAAAATGTGGTTCCTCGTGGCTGGAGGACTGGGCTCCTGTCCCTACTGGCTGCAAGATGAAGGCCAGTCCCATGGAGAACACGCCCCTCCCCTACCTTTAAAGCCAGCAAGAGTCAAGTCCTCTGTCCGTCTGTCCATCTCCACCAGGCCTTCCCCTTTCCTCTCTCACTCTCAGGGCCCCGTGACACCATCCAGCCCACTCGATAACCCAGAGAATCCCACTCGAGGCCCCACCTTGATGACATCTGCAAAGCCCCTTGGCCACAGAGGTGACACATCGCAGGTTCCCATCTGCTCACCAGAGGAGGTCACTTGTTACTGTTCAGACTCCAGCCCTGCCCCTGAAAACTGAGATTCACTATTTTAACTCAAATCCAGATAACAGAATAGAAATACTGCTTTTGGAAGAATTTACCTAGAACACTGGAAACGGAGAGAAATGATCAGATGTCCACCATCCCACTCACCTCATCAAGAACCCTCTCCTAAGGGAGGTCCCCTGAGGAGGGACATCGTCCTGCTCACGGTGCCCACTGCCCTCACCTGTGCCAACCTGAAGACCTGCTGGCAAAGCCCGAGGGATGGGGAGCGTGGATGGCTGAGGAGGCACTCCTGCATCTCAGCAAGGTCACTCAAAGGCAAATCTCAAATGCCACGTGGCCTGGAGGCACCCACAAGTGCTCTATCTGGCAGCCTAGATTTCACGCTCCTTTAGACAAGGTCACAAACCTGCTCTTGGGTTTCACAGCCAGAGACAGAGGCACACAGAGCCCTCCCAGTGGCCTCTCTTCTCTCCTGGTGAGGATGGGAGGCACTGAGACACCCCCCACTCTGCCCCGGTGCAGTTGGCCAAGAGGTCGGTGCCAAAGTAAAGACGAGGTTCCAAAGGGCACAGATCACAGTGAGAAGGGGCAGGAGCCGTGGGAGCAAAACGCCTTTGTCCCAGAGAGATTCAGAGCCCGGTGCGTGTCCTCGTGAGGGTCCTGCTCACAGCAACACAGTCAGCACCAGCTAGGGGTGATTCCCAAGTTATGACAAGGGCTTGGGGACAGATCCGCTGAGGAGAGAATGGCGTCCACGGGGAGAAAGAACACGGCAGCCAGGAACAGGGTGGTCGCCTCAGACTTTAAGTGACATTGATTGGTCCAGGCCACGCTTCAGAGCGGGAGGCTGACCTACTTTCCACCAAGATGGAAATGAGCAAACGTTTCTCTCACTCCAAAGACAGGAGACACACAGGGGAGGGAGGGGTCGCAGGGGAGATGAGCCTCAGGGACAAAGCACAGACACAACCTCACGTCCGCAGGCGTCCCAAACAACACTCTGAGAAAATGCTTCTCTAAGCAACATCTGGGACTAAACACAAACACAGCTGCACACAAAGTCAAAGTGACAGCTGTCGTCATCTAATAATTAGAAAAACCAGAAGCAAGGCATTGACCCTCCTGCGCACGAGAAGCCCACCGCCTGCTGTTCACGCGGAGGCCAGCTCAGAAGGTGCGTCTCCAGGGGAAAAGGCAGAGACAGAAGAAGCCTCTCTAGTCCGCGAGCCAAAAAGAGACCAGTGGCAGCGTGGGCTGGGCCTGTAGTTCCTACCGCCCAAGTCCACACACCCAGGTGGCAGGGGCCCCACCTGCACCCACGAAGTCCCGGTTTTGGGAGCATTTTTCACGAAGCATGTGAGAAAGGACCAGTGAACTCGGCTACGAGAAACCAGTTTTATGTACAAGCCTCACAGAAAGCCAAAGATAAAACTGCCTTTTCACCAATGTCCTGACCTGGTCCAGTCAGAGAGAAGCTCAGCTGACGGTGACTCCTGTCAGACTCAGACTCTGACTGCAGGCAAGATCCCAGTGAGAAATAAAACATTAGGATCAGGTATAGCTCACCCAGATCCAGGGAAGAAGCTGTTATCTTGGATTGTTTCACACTATAAAATGTTTAAGTCATGTCTTGGACTGAAAACACGAACATCAGTCACAGGTAACAGTGCCTGGCAGTGATGCTGGGCTGAGGGGCTCTCATTCCACCCCAGACAAGACAAGCTTTGTTGTTTTAGTGGCTTTATCCCAGAGTTGCCAGTCACCCACCTGTGAAGAACCGGCGCTTGACATTGAGCTCATTGGCCACACGGACTTCGGTGCACAGCTTCAGCATCAGCAGCATGGTCACGATCATGACGACACTCTGCCAGAGCAGCGGGGACTCAAAGTGCCTCCCGAACCTGGAGGCAAGACCACAGCATCAGGGGGGGCACCAAGCCAGGGGTCACCCACGCCAGCGGCCATCCATGCCAGAGGACACCCATCCATACCAGGGGGTGCCCACACTAGGAGGACACCACACCAGGGGCATCCACACCAGGGGCTGCCCTCACCAGGGGCCGCATCTGCACTCTGGGCCCAGGGCTGACCAGGCGGGACAGCCACATCCACCGTGGCTGTGGCTGTGGCTGTGACTGCCAGGCTCTAGACTCCACAGTGGAATGGAGCTCGATGCAGAGCACCTGAGGCATCTGGCATAGCAGGATACCACCCCCTCACCCCCACTGACAGGGTGGGACAAGCAAGGCTGCTGAGCCAGGCCTGAGTGAGGAGAAGATGCTGCAGAAAGAGGGGTAGTGCCCGGGGCTTTCTCAGCCAGAAGCACAGACATGGGTGGGGGGTCTGCCAGGGGCTGGCTCCTGCTTACCACAGCTCCCAGTTCCTCTGGTCCCCTGGACCCATGACCTCAAGCTGTCTTTTCTATAAATTGCAGGTATAACCCCTAAGGCTGTTTGAGAACATTTCTAGTCATTTCTAAGAACTGGACCCTACTGGCTACCTAGTTGATCCAGGGGGTCAACTCACCCATAGGTGAAGGTAATAGGAGGGACAGTGAAGGTTCCATGTCAGGCGAGCAGCCGGCATCAAAATAAAATAAGTCAGATTAGGGAACCCTCCCACCAAGGTCATTCCCAGCTATAAGGCTGACAGTGAGCAATTTGGGCCATGATGTGGAAAAGGCCAGTTTCGTTTTCTAGATGTTCAACAGAAACAATAAGTAACTAGAGCAACGGTGGGGAAAATATCAAGTTCACGCTTTTCCTTACACAATACACCAAGAATCAAATCTAGACAAACTTGATGTTCACAGTAAAAATAATACCATTTAACATGAGTGACAGGGAGCACAGGTGAGTGCTTAATTGATTTTAGGATGAAGGCTGGCTGAGAAAGACACAAAACTTCAAAAAGCACAACTTTCCACGAACAATACACAGGGAACAAAATAAATATGAAACAAAGTTCAACATCATTAATAATTTTTTAAAGCTAAATAAAATAGAAAGATACCATTTTTTACTTATGAAATTAAACTTTTTTTCTTCCTTAAATAGTCTGTGCTGGCAGGTATGTCATGACAGCACTTCCTCTCCTGTCCGAGAATGTGGTTGGCACAGCCTCTTCTGTTACAGAGAAGCCAGTCGAAGCAAGTTCTCCCCTGGTTGCAGCATAACTTTGTCTCACCCCTAGGAAAATACACATTGCAGAGGACGTGCAATGTTCTACCAAGCTGAAGCAAAAGTTTCTATAGGGGACACCTCCTCTACCTTTCAAAGTAACAGAAAAAAATCTCAAGTGGAAAAGAAGTTTTGTTTCCACTTCTCTCTGCTGCCTGAGTGTCATGATCATTAGTAGCAGAATGTTACCACATCTCTGATACAATGTTACTAAATCTTCAGTACAGTGTTACCAGACCTCCCATACAGTGTTGCTGCATTTTCAAAACAATGTTACTGCATCTCTGATACAGTGTTTTCATCCAATAGGGATGGGGCTTGGAATTACCTCCATGAATGCATGAGGCTCTGCAGCACCATCTATGCACCCTGGCCCCCTCCCTCCCCTTCATTTCTACAAAATCACAAGCCTGAAAATATTAGGTATGAGGTATCACTTAGCTCTTGTCCCAGCTTCTAATACCACAAAGGCCAAATCCTGTACATTAGCATTTTATGGAGTATGATCTGCTGAATGCTAGTTTTACAAAAGGTTGGTAAGAAATCAGAGCATAGGCAAGCGTTCCCCAAGTTTCAGAAACCTGGGTTTGCATAGTGTGGTCAGCCCCTCCTGCAGAGCCACTCATAACCTGGCACCACAAATCTCTCACAGGGCTTCCCAGTAGGACTGGAGCTCTGAGGACTGTGGTCCCAATCAGCTTTGGGAAATGTGCTCTCCAGTGATCCTAATTGTAGCACTGTTCTGGTGTGGTCCCAGTTTCCGCCTCTCCTGGAGCCTGTCACAGCCCCTGACCTGTGTTCTCACTTCCCATCACCCACAATCTATGTGTATACAGTAAACTCTACACAGTGCTTTCACTAAAGTGTAAACCGAAGCATCTAGCCCAGTGTCTGGCACATGGGAAACCCTAAAAAAAAATCTAGATCAAATGGACTGCTCACCCATGAATCCTGGAGAGACACGGGGTGAGAGGATATAAGAGAGCATGTTTTGCCCTCAGAGCAGAGGGGTCTCAGCACCAGGTGGGGAGAGATGTGCACATCAGGACAAGTTGTAAATGGAGGTCTGCCCTTCTGCTGTTGTGAAATGAAGGAAAGTGCACCCCCAGGCCAGTGTACCCTGTCCTCAAGTAGGGACCAGCACCTCTGCCAGCCCTCCCTTCACCCCACACATTTCCGAAGCTGTCCGGAATGCTAGCTAAAGGCAGCTCTGTGTGCTCACATGGTAGCCAGTGACCCAGGTTCCCTGAAGTGACCCAGAACAGTTCAGAATGCTGACTCTATGGCAAAAGGACCAATCAATGTGCAGAAATAGACTTGCCAGTGGACCCAGGTTAGAATCCCACAAAGGCTGCCCTGTGCTGCATTAGGAGAGAGCTCAAGACTTTCTCAAAGGCTCAGGCCCTGCAGTGGAGAGAGAGCATGGGGTCCAAAAGCATCAAATGCCAGTTAAATCCAGAGGCACTGATGAGAAGATGGTTTAACTTCTGACTTCTCCAAACCAGGTACTAAGATATAGATTAGAAATTCTATTTTCCTTTTGCAGTTTAGAATGACAAGCATAACAAGGGGAAAGCACTCTAAATGGAACTGTTTTCCCATAAGGTAATCCAACCCCAGGAGTTCCCGCCACTGTTGGAGAGAACTAATCCCACAATAAAGGGCACGCAGCTCCCACCCGACACAGGGCCTGGGCTCCCAACACCCCGTCCAATGTCTTCAGTCAACAACAGTGTCAGACAATACATTTCACCTGCTCCTGTTCAAGCTTAGACTTCAGGCCATTTTAGCAAGGGAAGCAAGGTGTTTCGCCTCGCAGGACCCTCAGCCAAAGGGAAAGGAGAAATCTTCAAAACTCTGTTTCAACTTGTGCTAAACAAAATAAACCCCGCTTACCCCTCCCCGGAAAGTGGGCTCCTCGTGTGACTGATTCACCAGTTCACCTTTAAAAAACCCCCAACAGCAGCAAAACTAACACCCAGGGGAAGGGAATCAGGGTGGACTGAGGCCTGGGATGGACAGATGCACAGAGCAGACAGAACTTCTGGGCTTGGGAAATTCATATCTTGACTATGATGGTGATTACGGGGTGGGGGGAGGAGTGTTCCTCAGAACTCATCAAGCTATCCATGTGAAACAGGTGATTTTATTTAATGAAAATCATACCTCAATAAGATTGACTTAAAACCAATCAGCAAAAATGCATCACTTAAACAGTGACCAAAAGTCACAAGAGGGAGCCTGAAGGCCTTCTCCTGCCTGGGCACCAGGACTCCCCTCAGCAAGCTTCCTGAGGGGTCTGGGACCACCCCATGGAAGGGAAGTTCCAGGTCTGGAGGCCTCAGGATGAGCTGAGACCTTGTCTCATTTCCTCTGAACATTCACCCTCCCAACCACGTCTGGCTTCAGCAACTGTTAAAATTCATTTCAAGTTCCTCACTGGAATGCAAACGATAAAAGGAGGAAGCTGGGCTGGGAGGAAGGAAGCAGCAGTCTTTTAAGTACCCAGAAAGTGGGCTTCCTATCAAAAATAAACAAACCGGGCGCGGGGAAGCTGAAGGGGCCCCTCCCGCCGCCCCCAGTGCCGCCTGACGGGCTAGCTGCCCTCCTGAGGGGCTCCACTGGCCAGCGGAATGTCCTGCCTACTGGCCACTGCGCTTTGTTCCTCACATTCATCTACTCAGTTGTTTTCTCTCCCCTGGTCGTCCTGCAAATGCCCTGCGTCAGGGACCCCATCCTGGGGGGCAGCGTCTGACAGACACCTGAGTGCCACGAGTGGGGACTGAGACCTGCGACCACCAGAGAGGTTCTCCACTGGATCCCACCATTTTCTCTGGGAAATAATCTCACCCGTGTCATCAGCTCCTTCTCAGAAGTACAGACATCTCCACCCCCGGGGCTTGCTCGAAAACCCCAAAATGGGGAAGCCATTCTCTGGGAGCCCACAGCAACAGGGCCCTGACGTACCAGAAGAGTATCCGCAAAATGTTGGCCATCAGGAGCACCAGGCACACGTAGGTGGAGAAGCCCTCGGCGTTCTGCGTCCTCCGGATGTCCCGGTACTGCGGGATGTAGGGCACCACCCCGCCGAAGACAATGGCCCCCGCCGCCCCCCAGGAAACCAGCTGCTGCAGCGGGACCAGAAGCCAATCCAAGCCCTGCGCGTCCATCGCGGACACCTGTGCCCCGGCCAGCGGGCTGGCGCCCACCCGGCCGAGCCCCTCCGCTTCCACGGGCTCCTGGAACGCGCGCTGTCAGCCCCACATGGCCGCCACCCGAGCCTGGCGAGAGAGACGTGGAGAGCTGGGGCCGGGGCCTCCAGCAGGGAGGCGGCGCTCC